CTTTTCGTTGCCCCACATAATTACAACTTTATTATGTTATTAATAATGTTTAATGAGAAGTAGACTACTCAGTCATGATATGCAATGGAGCATGTAGATAAATGATAATCATAAGTTTTCTGGACAAGGTATTTATAATAGATTATGTCCTTCAATCAAAGTTGAGTCCTCACTTTCCCTTTATAAATCTAAACATTTCATTTCTGTGTGTAGATGTTCATCAGAGACAAGCATATAAGTGACACTTTAAGATGTCAATCCAGTCTTCATTGTTGCCATTGCATATAAGTGACACTTAAAGATGTCAATCAAGTCTCATTGTTGCCATACTATATATGTGACATTTAAAGAAAATCTACATCTTCACAAGGTGATGCAATAGATCCCCAACTTGACCCTCATCAGCACCTTATGTACCACAGTGCAGTAAGTCTCAATATTACCTGGCTACACAAACCCCATGGTGGATACTGATACAAATGTGAAGATATCACCTGTCGGCCCATGTGGCCAGACACTGGCTCTCTAGACCAGTGCAGCGTACATGGCCAAGGAATTGCATTTTAGTTGGTAAAGGGTGTAACAGGTGTGTTTTCAGGAGGATGTGACTCCACAGGAAGTTACAAGTCCATTATCTTCTCAAAGTGTTTTTTTTTTTCTTCAATCAGAAGCATGTGAAAAGAGACCAAACCAATCTACTGCTGTCTTCTTTAAAGAAAACAAGATATGTCTACAACTGATTTAAACAATCCTTGGCCCCGTTTCACAAAGCTCTCGTAAGCCTAAGATCTCGTATCTTTTCTCGTAGTAATCGTACCTCCTATACTGTAGCATGGACTTACGACAGTCTTAGCGCTGTGATAGCTTTGTGAAACGGGGCCCTGGGAACCATCCTGACAGAAGAAAGGATTCATTCATATCAATATATAGCTACCAGCCAAACTTGGAGCTATTATATTCATGAGCCGACAATGTTCGTCTGTTTAAGCGTGTTTGTGTCCTGGTTTATTGCTAGTGAACCCATATCCTGTGATTGTCAGGTGTGAGGCTCATCCACGTACTGGGAATCTCAGTGCAACAGATGTATTTGGCCCCACTGCTGACATTTCACTGTATTGTTGTGGATGGGACCCATTACTACGCTATAGTCTGTTTCACCAACTCTCAACAGTCCACCCCTTGTTAAAACATCCCATGTATTATTCAACCAACCTTTCACATGGACATGTCATATAAATCTAGTGTATTAAATTCTCCCTCGACTGAGTTATTATCCCCGCCACGCGTTTAGCGCGAAGCGGGGATATAGTATTAGGTTCCGTACGTATGTACGAATTGGAATATCTTAAGAACCGTTGACTAGATTCTTTTCATATTTGGTACCTAGGTTCATCACAGTATAAGAAAGGTTCCAGTCAGGTTTGGTGACCTTGACCTTCAATTCAAGGTCACAAGAGGACTTTAACGTTTTACCTTGTCAGCGAGATATCTCAAGAACTGTTCACTGGATTTTTCTTCATATTCAAGACCAAGCTTTATCTAGGGAAGGCGCAGGGCCCAGTCGATTTTGGTGACCTTCACTTAATTTTCAAGGTCACAGCGACACTTTGAAGATTTCAGCATGTTAACATGCATGTTGAGCTTGTCAGCGAGATATCTCAAGAACCGTTCACCAGAATTTCTTCATATTCAACACCAAGCTTTATCTAAGGAAGGCACATGGCCTAGTCGATTTTGGTGACCTTCACTTAATTTTCAAGGTCATGGCAACACGAAGATTTTATCATGTGAAGCTTCATGTTAAGCTTGTCAGCGAGATACCTAAAGAACCATTAACTGGATTTTCTTCATATTTGACACCAAGCTTCATCTAGGGAAGGTGCAAGGCCCAGTCGATTTTGGTGACCTTCACTTAATTTTCAAGGTCACGGCGACACTTTGAAGATTTCAGCATATTAAACTGCATGTTAAGATTGTCAGCAAGATATCTCAAGAACAGTTCACTGGATTTTCTTCATGGACTTTCACGACTTCCCTGAATGTTTTTTAAAGCAATTTCTTTATTACTAATTTTGCATATTTCATACACTAAGACATTCATGTCAAGGTCAAAGTGAGTCTTGAAAATATTTGACCGCCTCCGTGGTGTAGTGGTTAGAGCATCCGCCCGGAGAGCGGAAGGTCGCGGGTTCGATCCCCGACCGCGTCATACCAAAAAGATGTTAAAATATGGTACTTGTTGGTCCCTGCCTGGCGCTCGGCATTAATGGGTACAAGAAGAACTGGTCGGCTCGGAGTCAGTATAATGTGTCTGAGTTGGGTATTCATGCTTCACTGCGGCATGGTATCTCAGTGAGCTAGAACTATAAAACCAGCTTAAGTCTGGGGCTAGTACAAGCAGTCTCACATACACATACACATGCATGCACATCATCATATGAGCGAAATATTCTCAAGCACAGCAGGTTAAATACAATTTCACCTCACCTTGAAAATATTTGTGCATTTGAACAACTACAGAGCAAGATATCAAGAGAGGTTGACTGGTCATGTTTTTGTTGACATTTAACTTCATCTTAAACTACTACCTTCACTTTCATTACTTTTAAGTTTGATTTGATAACTTGCGGCGGGGGATTATGTCACCTTAGTGACAATGCTTATTGCTTTTGAAGCTATTTGCTCCGTATCTGTTGAGAGGTTACAATTCAAATATATGACAGTAAAAGGGCGATATGATAATTTGATAGTGAGTGGTTGTAGTCAGTCGTGGTATGAATCATTATTTGCTGGTAATAAGAACTTGTACTATGTAGCTTGAATGGGAAATGAAATTATATATCTGTAGAAGGATGTTTACTATATTTACAGTAACGTGAACATGTATGTATTATCAGAAGGCAGAGGTACAGATAAGCTGCGTATCTGCGTAAATTACGCAAATATTTATGTGAAAACTCAATTCCTATTAAGTCTATTGCGTACAAGTACGCTTGAATTTTTGTAAATACTCATTAAATGTGATCTTACATGTGTACACACAAAAATGTCAAATCTTAGCTTGCATACTGGTGGATAGATAAAATAACTGAGGTATATTTAGAGGTTCTATTTCAGGACATGAACTCGACAACTTGTAGTCTTTCTTATCGTTTCTCATATTACAGATCAAATATGAATAACAAACACTAACATTTAAACTTTATTATATATTTTAAATTAATGGAAAATGGCAAAATACCCAATTGAGTTTGAATGAGGTGAGTACAATTTATTTGGTTACTCAAAGGAAAATTAGGATACCCAATTGAGATGAGCACAAGCGAGTACATAACTCAATGACCCAAAAAGTTATCTACAGCTCTGGAAGGGATTAGTTCTCTTTATGGTGTTTGAAGTGTGCAGAGACTATACATACCATATGTTTGATCAGTTACATGTATAATTAAAACAAAGAATTGTTTATGTTTGATTTTTGTGCTTGTGTTGGATGTTTTTGTAATGTATTAAAATAGACAAGCCAGACAAATGTGAATACATTTTAAACTGACTTATTAAATCCTCCGGTTTCATTTCAGAGTTATTATAGCAAAGATGTTCAAACTGCATTCAAAGAAATAAATTAAATCTGAGCATTAACATTTCTTCTTTTTCTTCTTTTATGTTTCTTCTCTGCTTCCTCTTCTTAGTTTCTTCTCCTTCTCTTCCTCCTTTTTCTTCTCCTTATCTTCTGCTTCTTCACTTCTCCTGCTTCTTATCTTCTCCTTCTGCTTCCTCTCATCTCCTGGCTAGCTATTCTCGAAACATTCGTAGCCCTACAAGGGGCGGTGGGGTAGCCTAGTGGTTAAAGCGTTGGCTCGTCACGCCGAAGACCCGGGTTCGAATCCCCACATGGATACAATGAGTGAAGCCCATTTCTGGTGTCCCCCGCCGTGATATTGCTGGAATATTGCTAAAAGCAGCGTAAAACCAAACTCAGTCAGTCAGTCGTAGCCCTACAAACTTCTTAAGCCCATTCTTAATACATTGGCTACGATCATTGCTACACCTACATAACCATACCATAAGATATACTATAATTAGCTCAAACTAGGAAGCACTGGCTACACTGGTACAACTGATACATATTGTGTTTGTCCCTCCAGATGCTATATATATATTTTCTGCATCCATTCTATACATACGATCGTTTTGTAGAATGATCGTAACTAGTGTTGGGAATTGGTTAAAATCTCATAATTGATGATTGGTTCATTACTACCGATCAATCATCGAAAAAAAAAAATTGGTTAGCGTCATTTATGAAATTTGTTAATGCACATAAAAATAAGGGGGGGAAAAGTAGTTCTTTTGGCAAAATTTCACATCTTTAAAGGATGTCTAGTATGTTAGGAACATAAATTTTTGGAATCTTTAAGATAAATTCAATCGTGACTGGAAACGAGCTTGTAGTGCTTACGAAATGTAACAGACAAAACCAACCATGTGAAAAATATTCTTAATGAAAACAAGTGTTCCAGAATTGTTTGTGTTCGATTATGAGAAATTGTGATCGATTGCTTGGTCGTTTAGTCACTACGACCAATCTTTGATTATTTCAATTAATCGGACCACCACTAATCGTAACACCCATCCTTTAACATAGACTTTCGACAGGCTCAGGGCTACAATCACTTTGTTGAATGATGGTAACACCCTCCGAGGTTAACACAGATGTGGTGCGGTGGGGTAGCCTAGTGGTCAAAGCGTTGGCTCATCACGCTGAAGACCCGGGTTCGAATCCCCACATGGGTACAATGTGTGAAGCCCATTTCTGGTGTCCCCCGCCGTGATGTTGCTGGAATATTGCTAAAAGCGGCGTAAAACCGACCTCAGTCAGTCAGTCAGTTAACACAGATGTATGACAGCTTAGGGTAATGTCACTGGGTAACATCACTTTGTGGAACACGTCATAGAACCTTACATTGTGTTCCTGTCTAATGTCGCTGTTCTTGTTCTAGTGTCTCAAATGGATGAGGAAGAACCTGCTGTTGGTGCTGACAGTCATCGCTGTATTCTTTGGAGTGCTGGTGGGCTTCTTGTCCAGACTGAGCACTCCGTCTCCCGACACCATCATGCTGATCTCCTTCCCGGGAGACTTGCTGATGCGGATGTTGAAATGCCTCATTTTGCCGCTCATTGTATCGTCCATGATAACAGGTTTGAATTATTACACTTATTGTTTTATGAAATCCCATTTCAGAAAATCTGTGACTTGTAACATGCAACTAAATCGATCAGGTGGTCAGTTTGGTGATTTGTTTTCTGGAATTTTTCATATCCTGAGGGGGCGGTGGGGTAGCCTAGTGGTTAAAGCGTTGGCTTGTCACGCTGAAGACCGGGTTTCGATTCTCCACATGGGTATAATATGTGAAGCCCATTTCTGGTGTCCCCCGCTGTGATATTGCTGGAATATTGCTAAAAGCGGCGTAAAACCTTACTCTCTCACTCATTCATATCCTGAGTATGTGGCTTGATGGTCAAGGTGTCAATCACTGGATTTCCTGACCCAGGTATTTACTTGCCGCCATGATAAAACTAGAATATTGCTGAGTGCAGACTTAAAGAGCAAGCCTAAAATGTTTACATTAAAAGTACCCATGAAGATCCGGGTTAGAAATGATCTTCAGTAACCCATGCTTGTCGTAAGAGGCGACTAAAGGGATCGGATGGTCAGACTTGGTTGATACATGTCATCGTATCCCAATTGCGTAGATCGATGCTCATGCTGTTGATCACTGGATTGTCTGGTCTGGACTCGAATATTTACAGACCACCGCCATATAGCTGGAATACTGCAGAGTGCGGCATAAAAGTAAACTCATTCACTCACTCGCTCATTACATTAAAAGTAATGTCTAGCGGTCTTATTGGTCTCTGAGCCATTTTGTACCATTCCACCATGACATTCATAGCCATCATTATTGAAACTTATCTTTACAGGTCTCGCTTCTCTGGATGCAAAGTCTAGTGGTCGTATGGGTCTCCGAGCCATTGTGTACTACTTCACAACAACATTCATAGCCATCATTATTGGAATCATCCTGGTCGTGTCCATTCACCCCGGCAAGCACACTGGCCCGGGAAAGTCACTGATGGATGCTACTGATGAGAAGCCACCATCGTCCACTGATGCCTTCCTGGATCTCATTAGGTAAGATATTTATAATGACGGGCCGACATTTCAGTGTTGTCTTTGTTCTGCTAATTATTTGTGTATTTATTGAAAGGAGGTACTATTATCTTGTTGAGAGTGTTGTTTGAGAAATATCAAGACTTTTGTCTGTCAGGAACATGAATGGCTTATTAGTCTTGATTTATACATATTTATCATTTTGAAAGGAAATGATACTTGTGGGTGTGATACAGAATCAATCTTATTTCTGTAAGATGGGTTATGAAAACTTTATATTAAAAGTTTCTAATTGATGACCAAACATACATAGATGACGGTTCTATCAGTTTCTCCACAAACATAGATGACGCTTCTATCAGTTTCTCCACAGAAGTTAATCAAATTCGCAGGGTCCTTCATAAGGCCATGAATTGCATCTGTTAAACTGTCTCCCTAAATTAATGATAGAAATGGTTTCAGTGAATATTTTGAAAACATTTTTTTAAATATATGCATTGGGCCTCATGGTGCCAAATGTATGTAAAACCAATGATCTGTTATAGCGGAAGTTACTTTAAGGATGTTGAAGCTGTCAAGTGCCTCACCTGCCAGAAATGTTGATGTGATTTAGGTTACTTCCTTGAAGTGTCTATCCTCTGTTACTGCCTGCCTGAGTTTGGTTTTACGCCGCTTTTAGCAATATTCCAGCAACATCACGGCGGGGGACAACAGAAATGGGCTTCACACATTGTATCCATGTGGGGATTTGAACCCAGGTCTTCGGCATGACGAGCCAATGCTTTAACCACTAGGCTACCCCACCACCCCCCTCTGTTACTGAGTGGGGAGGTGGGGTAGCCTAGTGGTTAAAGCGTTCACTAGTCACGCCAAAGACCCGGGATCAATTCCCCACATGAGTACAATGTGTGAAGCCCATTTCTGGTGTCCCCGGCTGTGATATTGCTGGAATATGGCTAAAAGTCGCATAAAACCCAACTCACTCACTCACACTGTTACTGAGTGTGTCATGCATCATCCCATTGTGATGAAAACCATGGAATTATTTACCAACATAGTTTCTTTATCCCCAAGACCCGGGTTCGATTCCCCACATGGGTACAATGTGTGAAGCTAATTTCATGCTTCCCCTGCAGTGATATTGCTGGAAACCATACTTACTTCACTCACTCACTCACTCACTCACTCACTTAGTGTCATGTTTTCCCTGCAGTGATATTGCTGGAAACCATACTTACTTCACTCACTCACTCACTCACTCACTTAGTGTCATGTTTTCCCTGCAGTGATATTGCTGGAAACCATACTTACTTCACTTACTTCACTCACTCACTCACTCACTCACTCACTCCTCCTCAGTGTCATGTTTTCCTGCAGTGATATTGCTGGAAACCATACTTACTTCACTTACTTCACTCACTCACTCACTCACTCAGTGTCATGTTTTCCCTGCAGTGATATTGCTGGAAACCATACTTACTTCACTCACTCACTCACTCACTCACTCACTCAGTGTCATGTTTTCCCTGCAGTGATATTGCTGGAAACCATACTTACTTCACTTACTTCACTCACTCACTCACTCACTCACTCACTCACTCAGTGTCATGTTTTCCCTGCAGTGATATTGCTGGAAACCATACTTTCACTTCACTTACTCACTCACTCACTCACTCACTCACTCAGTGTCATGTTTTCCCTGCAGTGATATTGCTGGAAACCATACTTACTTCACTTACTTCACTCACTCACTCACTCACTCACTCACTCAGTGTCATGTTTTAGCCCCATCTCTTCCACAATGCACTAACACAGCTTCGCCTGACACTTATTAAATCTGGAAGAGCAATGATACGTGTTCCACATCTCACTCAAGTACAAGCTGGTGATAACAGTCACCTGCATGTTTCTGGTTGGCATGACAGTTTGATTGGAAGTTTATATTTAATGCTGCTGCATTTAAACCAGAATCAAATGTCCCCAGAGTATTTACATAATGGAATTGAGATTAATGTATTGGAACACTGAGGATGAATAATGTTTTAAATATAACATTTCTGACTGATCTCACCTAGATGCAGATACACAGTGAACTGTTGTTGAATAACCAATCCACAGAACCAAATCGAAGAATTGATTAAGGCCTTTTCAGAAGCTGATCGTCAGCAGATAACAGTAGATGGCGATACAAATTTCCAAATTGTAATTTCCAACTTGTAGATTCATTAATGGTAATGGTTTTTCAGCTTTGGGATGATGTATTCACTGAAAACAGAGTGAGTGAGTTTAGTTTTATGCCACTTTTAGCAATATTCCAAAAATATCATGGCAGGGGACACGAGGAATGGGCTTCACACATTTTATGTATGTGAGGAATTGAACCTGTGTCTTCGGCATGACAAGCAAACGTTTAAAACATTAGGCTTCCCCGCCGCCCCCACTGAAAACAGAATGAAGAGGAGAATGCATTAGTGCGCAGTTTTACTTCAATGCAGTAAAATGTCTCTGAATATAAAAACATGAGAACTTTGCAAGTATACAAAGTTTGGGACAAACAGATGTTGTCTTCCCAGTTTGCCTATCAATAACAGATAATTCATTATTATGAACTGCTGTTTAATGTGTTAAAGAATTGTTCCTAAGTGAAGGTCTGTCGCATAACATCTGTCACCTGTCACATGAATATATAAAATGATTCAGGTTAGGATTTATCTTCAGCATTCCAGGATTGTTGTAAGAGGCGACTAACAGGATCAGGTAGCAGGCTCACCGACTTGGTTGATGCGTGTCATAATTCCCCAGTTGTGTAGATTGATGGTCATGATGTCAATCACTGGATTGTCTGGTCTGACTCTTCACATGTCATCATATCCCAATTGCATAGATCAATACTCATGCCTTTGATCACAGGGTTGTCTGGTCCAAATTTGATTATTTACAGACCGCCGCCATATAAATGTCACATAAACCCACAGCTGGAATATTTCTGTCTGTGCCAATGAAAGAGTTGGAATGGATGCTGAGCCTGTGTTATGGGTACATCATTCCAGCGTTGATGAAAGAGTGGCAAGTTTCATCACCACACATGTAGAGAAGCCCTTGATGGGCTGCTGAGGTGCTTGGAAATTGTTTGCTGCTGACTGACAGGCTCCTTCATTAACAACTACACACACAGGCAGCCACTAACACCACTAATACAACAAACATGTTCCCACGTGGAGCTTGGTAGGCAATACTTGGGAATTGTTTGGTTTATGGACCATAGCTCCTATTATAAGAAGTTGTCAATCCAAAAAAGTTCTTCTTCTTCACACACATGCTTCTAAATGCCACTTAAAGCAGTGTATGAAATAAGGCCCGTCCGACCACCCGAGACGGACGGTCTAAATTTACAGCTAGCGGGCCCCAATGGTCTGGTAAAGTTTTTAGATGTTCCATATATCTGAGTAAATTCAGCATATCTTGGTGTCTGGTCTGGTTATATCCATTTTGGTCAGATAACATTTTGAAGTTACCAGCCCTGATGTCTGGCTGGGTTTTTGGCTTATTTCATACACTGCTTAAAGAAGTACTATGTTGTTTGGGGAGACTAGAGTGAGGGAGTTTAGTTTTACACCGCTTTTAGCAATATTCCAGTAATATCATGGCGGAGGACACCAGAAATGGACTTCTCACAACTGCCCCATATGGGGAATCGAACCCGGTTCTTCGGCGTGACGAGCTAACGCTTTAACAACTAGGCTACCCGGACGTGCTGGGGAGACTAGAAATGGGCTTCACATATTAAATTTGGAATTGAACACGGTGAACACTTTAACCACTAGCCTACCCCACAACCCCATGGATGCATCTGGACTGATACATCACCCATGTCAAGTATTAGTAATACTTCTCAAATTGGTAAAAGATATACATGTATCCTCTTTTAATGTTAGAATGAAAGTAAGTGTTAGTAATAATAGGGCAGATTAAGATGAGAGACTTTGATACTTGCTGGTAGCCACACATTTCTGCATTGAAAGTGACGCTAAATGCCTCGGTGTGTTATATTTAGCAAAATCACATTTATTTAATCTAACCATGCTTTTTTCCTAAATTTGCTTTAAGATTTAGATAAAGTACATAGAAATTTGGCTAAATAGGATGCAAATTGATTTTTGTTGGACATCAAGCTTGAGAGAACAAACATGGTTTTAGCTCAGACGATTTTGACAAAATTACTCAGCAGTTCTATACCCCTTCAACACAACTATGGTGTAGTGCAGTGCTTGTTTATGATTGAAGCTGCTTTAATACCCTTTACAGGGTGTGACCTTGACCTACAAAACCCAGGCCCCTACTTAATACCGGAACTTTGAGGGTCCCCTAAAGTAATGAAATGGTGTAGCATACTGTACTGACAGATTTGATGACTACTTTAAGTACAGGAACTTTATTGTGAGTGTCAAGAATGTTGTTCAGTTAATATTATTGTGGGGACAGTGGGGTAGCCTAGTGGTTAATGCATTCGCTTGTCATGCCAAAGCCCTGGGTTCGATTCCCCAAACAAGTACAATGTGTGAAGCTCATTTCTGGTGACCCCCACTGTGGTATTGCTTGAATATACTCACTCACTCACTCACTCACTCACTCACTCACTCACTCACTCACTCACTCACTCACTCACTCACTCACTCACTCACTCACTCACTCACTCACTCACTCACTCACTCACTCACTCACTCACTCACTCACACACACTTGTGTGTCCCTGATGATTCAATATATATTTTTCTACATCTATTCTATACATTATACATACTGGATGCACATTTCTGCAATATGTAAAACCCTGTTATACATATTCATAAACTATAAATATTAACAAGGTCTGGCCTTGCTCAGGGCATGTTGTTTCTGATGATGGAGTTGATAGGCATGTACACTTCCATATAGACTTACACAAGTCTCTAAGGTAATAAAACTAGTTTAAATGATAATTTCTAAAAGACTATGAATAAAATGAACACATTGTCCCGCTA